TAGATAGGTAGATAGATAGATAGAGATAGACAGATAGGTAGATAGATAGATAGATAGATAGATAGATAGATAGCGACCCGTCTCACATAGGAGCCTCTTTCAGGCTAATGTATATACGATATAGGTACGGACGCTCGGGAGGGATACGGGCCTGAAGACTTCGAGTATTAGCAAAGAGTACAGTGGTAGGATCTATTTCGTTGCTGAGAGGACTCTACAAAGGATTACAAAAACTGTACCAGCTAAGCAGCATGTTAAAGAAACTAAACACGAGAGAGAAGCCCTGAAGTTTGGTCGAGTCCGCAGAATTTCTGCTCAACTGTGCCAGAAACCTGAGGGTACTCTGTAAGTTATTTGTGAGATGCCCCCATCCATCTGAGCACTTACGGTCGCAGGCGCAAGCTTCCTATATGCTAAGCCCGCTGCTCCTTAACATTCCTTGACTATAACCCTTTGAGCCCAATTACCTTTCCAGTGGGCCAGGAACCTTATACAAACTTTATACGGCACCTAGCCCGGTAAACCCCAAACCCTAACCCGCATTCCTATATCCAGAAGCCTACTACGTGGGTAGCCCCAAAAGCCTAAAGCCTAAACCGTTGGGGGCTCCTCGCGTAATCTAGGGATCTCTACAGGAGTCTTGCCTTGGGGTGGCGATACTTTTGGCTCTATACGGTTTAGGATTGCATAAGGGTTCCTCCAAGGAATCTGTAGGGGTTCTTTAAGGGTCCATAGCTCCAGCATTTAGGATTTTAAGGCTTTTCAGGCTGTTAGGCTTTTGCGGTTTGTAGGCATCTCATGCTTTTTTGTTGGGGGACTTGTGGCTTACTGTCTAGAGTACCCGCCACAAGCCAGAGTCCAGGTGTTCAGACTGGGATTGACACTTGTAATGTAGGAACCTGATTAAGAAACCCTGGCCCTATAACTCCAAAATATTCGGATTCATATGGAGCCCTAAAACAAACCCAAGGTTGCTTAAGCAGGTTCCCATATTATCTCCATCTCCGCCTGTTTCCTGCTTCATGGGAAGCCTGCTTTCTGCTGCGCAAGACGCGGAAGTCGAGGTACCTCGCCATTTCATCTGCCATGGTGCTTGAAGTACTGGCCGTGGTGCAACTGCTGCTGCTGATGAATGTGATGACGATGGTGATGGTGATGATGCAGATGATGATGGTTTGTGATGATGATCGTAGTAAGTAGCCAAGTAGCCGTGCAGGAGAAGATGAAGATAAAGACGAAGATTAAGACAATGGTTTTCACTAAGGTACAGTCTATGATGCTTTACTTGGTGGTACTGAGGAAGTTTCCTGCTTGAGGGTTTGGGGTTTAGGGTCTTGGGTGTAGGAGTGTAGGGTTTAGGGTTTGTGTCTGGGGTTCGGGGTTTAGGGTTTCAAGGCTCAGGGCTTTTAGGGGTTGGGTGCTTCATGCGTACCAATGAGTAGATCTCAACTCCTTGGCTGCGACAACAATAAGCCTAGGGTTTAGGGGGTTTAGGGTTTTGGGTTTTGGGTTTAGGGTTTAGGGTTTCTCCCAACACCAAACGAGCCTGTCTGAAGCTTCAGTCATAAGAAGACCACACAAAGGCCTGCAACACTCTACGAATCCCTAAACCCTATAAGCTCTATAAACCTGAAACCCCAAGCCCTAAACCCTGAACGTTGAAACCCTAAACTGTACCTAAACCCTAAACCCTAACTCCGAACTCCCTGAGCACTGGAGCCATAAAGCTTTGATCCGCCTACGTCTTATCTGCAGCCCGAAGTCCACAAATGGCTGGGTTCTTGTTGGGGAAGTTACTTTTGGCTACCCTAATTTAGCGTTCCTTTCTATGGGTCCTATAAGGATTTTGGATTTGGGGGCTGAAGTTCCCCATAGTAGGGGCCGCTCTTGAATAATGTGATTTGCTTATGATGGTAACTTAAACAAGACTCCTGAACAAGAACCCAAACTAGGTGGTTATGACCCCTTAAACTTAAACAAGACTCCTGAACAAGAACCCAAATTAGGTGGTTATGGCCCCTTAAACACGTGGGAGTTTCCGAAAATAGGGGACCCTAATATAGTACCCTAAATAGTAGGATCCCTACTACAAGGACCCCAAAATAAGGTACCCTAATTTTTGGAAACTCCCACGTTAAGCGGTATGTTGTCGCGATCCGCGAAGAGCCGTTTGAAGCCTAAAGCCCCGAGGCGTAAGTTCTCGTAGGCTTTCGGGATTGACAGGGAGAACCCTAAACCCTAAACCCTAAACCCTCAACCCTAAATCCTACACAGTACATGCTTGCACCCCAGAGCCCCTGAAACGAAGCCGCAGGAGTCTGTGAGAAGTATCCCGAGCCCCATGGATGCGTCGTCAGAGGATCGCGGTTTAGGGTTTTGGGTTTAGGG